AAGGAGAGGCATTCAATAGCAACTTTTTATTAAAAAATTTAAACTCAACAAGATCTTTTGAAAAATGTGATGGAGAGAAAGTAGTTCTAATTTTATTGTTTGATTTCTGAATGATCTGCAATATATAGTCAAGGATTTTTAAAAAACATTTTATATGTGTAGGTTTGCAATTTTTAAAGTTTTTAATGTTTGATCATCCAATGTCCAAATAAAGTTAAACAATTTTTAAAAAGGATTTTTGGGGGGTGGTATATGTTTTATTTGCAGTTTTCTTTTAACAACCAACATTTTTTGTGGACAGTGCAAAAAGGATTTCTGAATGCCCTTAATAACCAGCAGAAATTTTTTCTACCAAAATTCTATTCAGATCTGGGATTTAATAAATTCCTGGAACCAGAAATTTAATTCTAAATGTTTTTCAGCAAGCTCCAGCTGGTGGCCCTCTCAATTACTTTTTTTTTTTAAAGCAGTTTCTGAGGTCTCCCCACCTGGATTGGTAACCTTCTCCATAAACATGCTAGCAACACTTATTCGCTGATAACTCGATCATCTGTGTGGTTGCCAGTCAGAGTCTGTGGTATAGCATGCAACAAGGGAAAGCTGTCTCCCACGGCTATTAGAGACTATTCACCTGGGAAAATGCCTTTCAGCAGCTGAGTTATCTGGAGTGGCCTGGCAGGTATTCACTTCCCTGCAAAATCTGGCACCTGGATCATTCTGTTCTGAGTTCAGCAAAGTCTTCTCCAAAACCACAAGACAGGCCTATGGAGGCCCATCATGATCTCAAAGTGTTTTTGTGCTTTTTGACACACCCCTGCTTCTTTTTCCACAATCTTTTCCAAAACACTGAACCTTTTCTTCCTTACAATCCAGCTATTTCACATGCTGTACACATGCCCTTATCCGTTATGATTTGAAATGTATTCTTTTTATGTGCTGCAGGGACTAAAAACTCTCAATAAATAAAAGTAAATGTTTTTAGAGAAAACACATTGAAAGAACTAAATGATATATCGGCCTTGTAATCTATCTCATTCTTTAAGCTGTAAAATGTATAGGCCACACAAGCATTAATATTTTAGTGCTGCTAGTCAATACTCTACAGTTTCATGCTTTAAATTACATCTAATCCCTTAATTATCTTTTTTCAGTCAATATTTCAACACTAAGCTTGAAGCTACAGAAAATAGCTTTTATCTAAACTCTGTGTGTGTTTATACATATCTATCTATCTATCTTTGAGAGGGAGAGAGGGAGGGAGAGAGAGAGGGAGGGAGGGAGAGAAAGAGAGAGAGAGAGAGAGAGAGAGAGAGAGAGAATCCTGCCTGTACGATTGCTCAGGTTAAGTTTTCTTCAATCTAGTGCCCTCATCATCCTCAACCAACAAGGTCAATAACCTTATTAAGTGTGGGAATTGTAGTCCAGGGTACCTGGAGGACACCAAGTTAAGAAACTCTTATTTACAGAAACTCTTAGGCCAACCCATGTGTTGCCCATCATCAGTCGGGACCTTTAGCCAGAAACACAGAGGGATAAACAGAGGCAACAAAAATACGTTAAGCAAGTTTTAGAGAGCGCCAGAAGAAAGAGAGACGCTTCAGGACATGGCATCCACCAGGCAATTCAGTCAGCTGAGTTTAACTTTATTAAGCTGTAAAATATTTAAAGACCTTCTATCACTATGAAATTAGTATTATAGAGCATTAATATCCTTCTGAATATGAAGAGACTGCTAATAGCATGAAGCAATTTGGCAGAGGCAACCGCTCCCTCTAAGCTCTGTGGGCCCTGGGGGTAAGCAGAATAGGGAAAGGCTAAGTCAAGGAACTGCAGGCGGGACACTGAAACCTTCCAAGCAGTCATTTTTCCACTTTCCTAGAGGGAAACCGTAGATCGTCCCTCTTCTTTCTCCAGTATGCATTTATCGTCTTTCCCTTCTTTTGTTCTGTCGCTTTAGGGTTGTTAAAAGGTTTCCCTTGATACTTGCAATTTCCCCAAAAATATGTCCTTCCCATTTGACTATCGTTCTCAGTCCCGTTAGGTAGGACTCCTGACTGTTGTTCTCTGAAAGTCAGTATTTAGTTGGGCAAATTGTCTATGGAGATTCTCAGCCATCTAGGTCATGGTTGTCCCAAAAGTGCTTTTTTCAAGAGGCAACTGGACTTTTTGGGGTTTTCTTTGAAGACGTTTAGTTTCTCATCCAAGAACCTTCTCTAGCTCTCTTCAGAAGCTTCTTGGATGAGAAGCAAAATGTCTTCAAAGAAAAAAAAAAAACAGCAAGTCCAGCTGCCTCTTGAAAAAGCACTTTTGGGATCGTTGGGGAAATGTTCTTCTATCGATATTACTTTTCTTCTTTGACTATGTAAGCATATCAGCAAATCGCCATTTCATTTTCTTTTGCTTTTTCTTTTCTTTTTTCTTTTTGGGTATTTTGGATGATTTCACCTTTAATGGCATTAGCATTCTTGAAGCACTCTACCCAGTCTAATCTGTTAAAACTATTCTTGACTTGACTTGTCTACAGTATTCACTGTATCGCATGGAATATTGATGAAGTCATATCTGGTTGGTTTGATGATATTATTCATGTTCTTCAGTTGTACTTTTAAGGAATTTGTGAGCTGTAGTCAGAAGCAGTATTTTCGTTTACTGAATACTATAGACCTTTTTTCTATCCTGTTCTTTTAGGTGGTATCCATTTGTACCATCATTTTATTTTATTTTTCAGTTGTTGGAAGACTGTTACAATTTTTAAAAAATTATATAAACAAATAAAATATATTCCATTTTAATAATCACAGAACCTTCTTGGCAAAACTGTCTTCTGCTTCCTTTTTATGGATTATCCCATCATTTGGGCAGCTTTATTACCAACTTCAGCATTCCAGTCTCCCATAACTGGTAGGTTGTCTTTTGTGAGAATTGAATTTACAAGGTGTTATAAGTCACCACAGCACTGGTCAACTTCTGCTTCTTCTGCATCTGTTGTTGGATTTGGATTGCCATAATATTGCGGTCTCGCCTTGGATTCAAAAGGAAATCATTCTTTTATAGGAGGGGGTTGTTTTTCAAGTCTAATTTTGATACCTTTTTATTGCAAATTATTGCCACTCCATTCCTTCTGTGATTTTCTTGTCCACAATGAAATCTGGTACTCCTCTGACATGAACTTCACTCCACTGGAGATCTCTGATTCCCAGTTTACTTATTTCAGTCTGGACATTTATGTTTTGATAACATTAAGTATATCTTGGCTTATGGTTGATATCCTGGTCAGGTCTGCTTGGTAGGGCTGATAAAAACCTTACTCTACTTTCTTTTGTTTGCAATTCCATTTTATTTAGGGGAAAGGGGGTAGTTTGTGTTATTAAACATCAAATCAGAAGTTTAAAGGTAAGGAAATTATACTTTGAATGCCACCACTTTTGTAATTATTTTTAATTAAAAGAAATCCTTCCCTGTTACCAAGCCAGGCTATTTCTTTTCTTTTTTAAGTCTGATGCTGGAAAATGTTCAGACATGCTTCACTTTAAACACCTAGACAGTTTTAATGCCCTGTGAGAAATCCAGAGGATTCTTTCTTCCAAAGATTATATCTGACCACAAAACAAGAGAAAGACTTAACATGCAAAGATTAAAATATATGGTTAATTTTTAACTGCTCCATACAATCTTAAAGTCTCACTTTCAACTAGATTAAATAATATAACAATACATGCACGGATCTGCAAGAATTACTCTATCCTCATACACACACGTCACACATGGTATAATCTTTTATAACTTGTCAGTTAACAATGATCTAACTGGGACTTATTTTCTGAAAAACATACTGTATGAGTTTGTACTGTGTTGCCCATATATTTTCAGTGTTATTTCCCAACATCCAAGCAGAAAGTCACAGCTTGCTCACAGCTGCTCAGCTCTTTCCCCAAATATAAACAACACATTGCTTTAGCACATCTTTCTAACATCTGGATTGGGAAGAAGGCTTTACATCCCCTTCTTTCATCCAGGATAGGTGGTATGAAGGAGACACGAGCAGGAGCTTATCTGTTCTTTCAAATTTCCATCTCTGTTCTAACTACGGAAACTCAGCATGGAACTTTTCTGCCCATTTGATCAATCAAAAGAAATTATTTGACCTCATTTTATTTTATTTTAGCTCTCATCAACTAGCCATACCTTTCTAGGATTTGAACCCGGGCCACTTGCATATTAGGCAGATGTATTAACCTCTAGGTCACGGGCTCTCCTTGCTTTGTCAGCCATACCAGGGGGGGAAATTAAGTGTTTTTCCCGGTGAGACTGGACATCTGCTTAATATGCAAGTGACCTGGGTTCGAATCCCAGAAGGGTACTGTTAGCTGATGAGAGCTAAACAGCTTGAAATACCTATACTAGTCTCCCTCTATTTCTCTGTTGGTAAATTTAAATTTAACACACAAAAAGGCAGAAGTGACTGCCTGTGAAGGCTCCTGAATTGGGGCTGAAAGTGAAAGCGGAAGCAATATGCTCCTTCCCATATTTGGATGGACCAGGTTGCCCTGATAGACTGGTCTCAACGGAAAAACACTTTCTGCCCACCGTTTTCACGTGTTCTGGAGTGATTTGAGTTCCCAGGAAGTGAGATTTTAAGATAAGGAGTATATGAAGGACAAACTACTTGGGATCTGTATTCTGCCATTCATAAATCCATTAAATTATTAATGGCCGCCAACTGATCAGAGATCATTTATTTCTCATTTCCTTCTTTAAGTGGTTCATATAGTCTCTGCATGCTTACTTTTTAATTCTGAGCTCTGAATAAAAATCTGAGTTAAAAAGAAACCCGATTCTATGATGAAATCATCACACACATATTAAAAGCATCGCCATTTCTTACTGAATTTGATTACTTCCACATTATACAATCTACCTATTTGATTAAAAAAAAACTGTGCAGTATTAATCAAAAGATTAAGTAAATGGAGCTGTAAATAAAAATGATGAACTCTTACCTCTTAAAGACAAAGAATTAGCTTCTCCATGTTCGGTTTGCTTGCACCGGCCGTGCAATTTACGTGCTTTCAAGTACTGTTTTACTCTTGATTCAACTGCATCTTTCAGCAGAAGACAGACTTCCTGGGAGATAATTTGTCTTAAGGTGAGTTTAAATATAAAGACTGAGAAGAATGCAAGTACATCAAAAATCAGTGATTATTTTTTAATCTATGCATATTAATAAAGCACAATATTATTGACAAATAAATTGCTTTATCTTTTTAATGAAACGACAGAATATAATTTGTTTTCTAAATAAAATACTTTTTGTTTTCCCATAGACCAAATTTAAAGATCATGTTTTCCTTTTTTCTTTTTTTAAAATTCTCTATGCCAGTGATGGGTAACCTTTTTGTCGTTGCGCGCCGAGAGTGCAGGCACACGTGTGCCTGAACCCATAATGCAATGCATGCTCCCTCTGCCCCCCTGTGTATGTGCGCATGACCCCACCATGATCCCCCACCCCCTGTGCATGCGCCCCACCCCCCTGTGTATGCACAACAGATACCCAACAACTATCTGGCTGGTGGGAGGCGTGCATGCGCAGTAGAACTGTGCTAGGACGATGGCTCACGTGCCAGCAGAGATGGCTCTGCATGCCATTTCCGGCACGCGTGCCTTGGTTCGCCATCATGGCTCTATGCTATGGCCACTGTAATATATACAGAACAGAATGAAGGGAGAAGTAGAAATGAAGAAAACTGGTATATGCTTCTTCCTTCATAAAATTAGCTCTGCACTGAGATAGCTGAAGTGGATTTATAAAATCATGAACTTCTTGAGATCAATTTCTTTAGATATTTTTAAAAGTAGGAATGATCAGTCTTTACCTCTCTCTGATGATCAGAAAACCACATATGGTCCTGAGATGCAATATGGAAATCTACCAAGACTGCAAAGTTTCCACACTTGGGATAGCATTTGGAGATATCAAGGAAATAAAAAGAAATTGACAATTAAATGATACACTATCAACAAGCCTTAATATTTATTTAATTAATTAGTACCAAGCAATTCTAGGCTGCTCACAATACCATAAATAACAGAATCAATTACAGGATCAAAACATTAAACAGTGGGCATTAAAACATTAAAATTAATAGTAAAGCAGATAAAAAGAATCAATGTGCAGAAAGGGTAGAGGTAATTGACATATTACTTAGCCTTAGGCTTTAATTTAGTAAATTAATTATAGTCCCTGCTTTTCATATTTTATATATAATTGAAAATAACATAGGATATAATATTGGCAGATCTGTCCACTTAGCTGTCAAAAGGGCCATGGTATTTATTAAAAATCTAAACTCAAGTTATCATCAGTATAATAAGTGTCTTGAATAAACTTCAGCAACAAAATAAATAGCCCAATTAATGTCATATTTATTTATTGTTTTTATTTTAATTACACAGAGGTTACTTTGATGTTTTACATTTCATATTAAGTGCTGTAGATCACCTTGAATATTTGCAAACTCAAAAGGCCGGGAGATAAATTATATATGTGTGTGTGTGTGTGTGTGTGTGTGTGTGTGTGTGTGTGTGTGTATCTTTGGTTATTCAGGTTTTCTCCCGCGTAAAATTGGAAGTATTTAGGCGACATTTCGATCCACATACAAATACCCGCGAAAACCTCAGAAAACAAATGTGGAAAAGACCCGAACACACCTAGAGCTATACACACGCACACACACACACACACACACACGTGTGTGTGTGCGTGTGTATAGGTCTAGGTGTGTTCGGGTCTTTTCCCGTGTAAGATTAAGAGTATCTTGGCAATGTTTTGGCGAGGTCCCACTTGCCATCTTCAGGCTGGTGCTTTCGGCTTCGTGCCAGTGCAAGCAGTGTGATCGGAGCTGCTGTCTCTCTATAAATACTGCTGGGGGGGGGAGGGCTGGTGTGCTGGGCTGATTGGCTGCGCTGCTGCCTCTTGATTGGTTGATGGAGTTGATGTTGGTATAATGGGCTGTGTGATGGCCTTGTGAGTTTTGTTGTGGACATATCCTAGATCTTGTGCTGTAAACAGTAAATCTCCTGGTACAACAACTTTATATCAAATCCTGTGTCAACTGTTCCCATACAGTGAGCTGCTTGTAATTACCCACAATGGAAGAAATTCTCCATCTCCACGGTTCCATAAACTCACAGATTTTGATAGGTTGATTGTGATGAAAGTTTTTATCCAGAGGGAGTATTATTATTTTTTCCTTTCTGATTTTAAAGTATGGGCCACTATTCCACTTATGAAGTTTAGGGTCAAGGTCAAGTTCTTGGCAAAAAGTTACATTTCAGTAACTTAATGGTGTTTGCTGTTGGAAAAAATTTATTTTTATTCTGATGGGTGAATAAGATAATACTAGTTCAAAAGTTCACAGGAACTGTTAATTGTCAGGGATTGCTATTATGGTACAAAATGACACAAGTGGGAAATCTCCGAAAAACAGGTGTCAAAACATAACTCAGTTGATTTCACAATGATAATGGATGTAATTTGATTTTTTTTTTGCAACCTATGATTTCTCAGGAAAAATTACGTATGAGCCACAAATCCAGTTATGGAAAGAAATTACCAAATTTGGATAACAACCCTTTTATATATATTGTTTATTGGCCACACGCATTTCTATGCTCTTTACTGTTTAAATAAATCTAAGAAATATTATAATAATAAACCATTATTCATAATAAAAATAAAAGCCAGGTTGAATATCTATTCCTGCAAAAGATGAGGTGGCCAATCTTCCATTAATTTAGCATCTCAAACTAGTACGTGTTTTATTATTTTAAGAATAGAGTAGAATAGAGAATAGAGAATACCTTTATTGTCATTGCATTCCACAAATACAATGAAATTTAAAAGCTACTCCAGCACAGTGCCCCAAACACCACATCACAATCAGACTAACAGAGTATTTAAAAATAATAATAATGATGATGATGATGATAATAATAATAATAATCCTAGTCTAAAATCTATCTAAAACATTTAGTAAGTTAAATAGTTTAAAAATGCCACTACATACATAGGACTAAATCACAAATGCACTGTTTGATTCAAGACAATTATTGCCTTGGAAAAGAAACTGTTTCTCAGTCTATTAGCCCTCATTTTAAAACACCTATAACGTCTCCCTGATGGTAACAGTTCGAAATATGAATGTCCAGGACGAGAATGGTCTGAGGAGATTTTTAGTGCTCTAGAGAGGAGTCGGGTCTTTGCAATCTCTTCCAAAGAAGAAAGAGAGCAGCCGATGATTTTTTGTGCTCTGTTTATAACTCTCTGGAGCGTCTTCTTATCCACTGCAGAGCATCCAGCATACCACACCATTACACAGTATGCCAAAATGGTAAAAAGTAACCAGCAACTTCTCACCCAGACCACTGTTTTTCAGCAGCCTCAGAAAGTGCAGGCGCTGTTGGGACTTCTTTGCAGCGGCAATGCAGTGTGTGGACTGACCAAGTAAGGTTGTCGGAAATATGAGTTCCTAGAAATTTAAAACTATGAACTCTTTCCACACAATCTCCAAGTCAGCAGTAAACATTTTTCTCAATCTTATAATGGACTGAATTCAAAGCAACTTTTAGCTTATCTGCTTTGTATTTTAACCCCTATAATTAAAAAAAAACTTTAACAAAACAAAGGTAATGGACATGCTTTCTCTAATTATGTTACCTTCCAAATCAGTTATCTAAGTGGTCTCCTAGAGTTGGCTTTCAACTTCTGTAACAACCATGGCTTTTGGGCATGCTTATTGGGATTAATAGGAATTGAATTTTAATGTGTTTAACTATGCTAAATTAAACTAGCTGGGAAGACTACAATGATCTGGAATCTAAAATTCAAGATGGACACAAGCTATTAACACTGCAAGTAATTGGCATCTTTTATAACTCTGCATTTTTTAAAAAATTAACAAAATGATCTAATAGTGTTACGGACATCTTAACAAATATAAAATGAAAAAGACAAATAATAAGGCCATGAAACTATGTATAATTCTGCCAAAGGCTATGGGAAATATAAAAAGTTCAGAACTTAACAACTTGTGCTCAGCCAAACTGTATTCTCCCACAATAAATTAGACCAATTCAAATAGCATACTGATATTATGCCTCAGATCTGATACAATACTAAACATTTAATTCACAATAATATAGACAAAACATAAGATGTCTAGCATTGTGAAATACTAGATTCCATACTCATAGTGTATCTAAGAGATATCAGCTAAAAATAATATTAAATCAGACTACAGGCCTAAAAACTGTCAGGCAGTTAGAAAAATACATTTTTGTTCAGGAGTTCAATTAGTTATTTCCTAATAAGTATGTTTAAGCAGCTTTTTTTCCTCCCTCCCCCTCCCCCTCCACAGGTAGTCCTCACTTACTGATTGCCTAAGACAGCAACCATTCAGAGTTACAACAGTGATGAAAAAGTAACTTTGCCTCTATTTACAATCTTGGCAGTCCTTTAAGACAAAGGAAAGCTGAAATAAGATAATAAGCACAGTCACGATTTCGGTCATCAGCTGGTTTGCTTAATGGTCAAGTGACTGGTCCCAGTAGATGAGGACTACCTGTATATCTTAAAAGATAATATACAGATTAAAGACCTGTTCCTCTGTCATACATCTGATCAATATATGAACAAAAAGAGTAAACTGCTGAATTATTTAATAACCCTCCAGTATTACTTCTTACATGGACAAAGGATTGCTGAACTTTCACATATGGACTATAGTAGAACATGTATACCTAGTACAGGTAATCATCTAATTGTCTCAGAAATTCGGACTGAGATTGCTGTCTCCAAGCGATGCGATCATAAAGTGCAAAATCACATGACTGCATTGCTTAGCAACAGCAATCTAGGCAGTCCCCATTGCCATCTTAGCCCCAAGATGTGTAAGTCGTTTAATGGGAAAAGGTGGAGTCCCAGGTAAGAACTGTAGGGGTGGTGTGGGCGGATGGCGGGGGGGTGGAAGACACCAGAAGAACGCCAACGCAGGCCACTCACAAATCATGAGAGGCCAGGGGAGCGTCTGGGAGAATCTGCGTGTGGGTGGGGGGTTACTGCGGGTAGTACCAAAAAAAAAAAAAGAGAGAGACTTACCAGAGTGAGTTGCAACCTTTCCTAAGGTTTCCCCTTTGAGTTTGTTTGTAGGAAACCAGCAGGGAAGGTTGCAAATAACAATCATGTGACCGTAGTTCCCTGCAATATTGTAACTGCAAGCTGAGCACCCGAGTGCCTCACATCAAAATCATGATCACATAGCCACAAGAATGCCGTGATGGCCAGTACCTCAAAGACCGATGGTATGTCCATTTTTTTTCAGTGTCGCTATAACTGTGAATGGCTACTGAACAAATGGATGTAGGCTGAAAGTAAAGCACAGGCCTCTCCTGAAAAATATGAACTCCCCCACCCCATGGAATAAACAGTGACATACACTTAGCAGTAATATAATTTTTGAGTTAAGGTTCACCTATCAATCAGCAGGAATAAAAGCCAACAGAACTAGGCCATTATAAGGAAGGCGGGTGATTGTTCAGGTGAGAGAATCATTTCAGAAGGAACAGGTAACTTTAAGCAAATGAAGTCTGTCAGAGAATTAAAAACCACCTCTGTATTAATCCAATTAAAATTAATTTAATTCTACCCAATTAAAACATTTTTATTAATTTTAAGAAAATACAATGAATGGAACATGACGGTATAGATGAAACTTATATAATAGTTTTTAGCGGGTTATGGTGCTTGTGATTGATTTCTGTATTTTGTTTATTTACTACAAACAATTTTGTTGTTTTTAATTAGGTGAGCCGCTCAGAGTCACAATTATGAGATGGGCATCTATATACATTGAATTAATTAAATAATTGATGTTTGAGTTGGGCTTGCAATCCT